TACATTGAATTCATTTAGTATGTTTTCATTCAAGTATTTGTTTTATTGGTTTCTTGTTTGCTTTGATTTCTAATCATTGTTCCCTTCTTGGTTGAGCATGGTGCTCTCATGAATGTGCGCACATGAATGCCCCTTGCTCCACCAGGTGTTGACAATGTGGACTGGACTAAGTGGGGCTTTGGGACGGGGGAGGAAGCAATGGGTTTTCTTTTTGTAAGTTATTCCTACCAGCCTTAGTGAAACGACTGATGTTACTCTTATTCTTAATAGCCTTAACTGTCTGTGTTATTTTACCCTTGCTATTGGTGATGTAATTTGACCAGGAAGTATTTTAAGTTTATGTTTGGTTAATTAGGCCTTTTGTCTCTTAGCTGGTAGGCTAAACTCTCAATAGAGACTGAGGCCTTTCTCTGGTTCCAAAGAGTGGCAAAAGTCGTGTGCTTGTAAACACTGTCGTACCATGTAACGTTGCTCACAACATCCATGTTTTAAAAAGCTCTAAAGTAAGGGCCGTGCGTTTGTGAGCATCCCTTCTCAGAGCTCTGAACCAAGTTCCTGGACTTGTTCTCCGAACAAGAAATAACGAATAACGAGAAAAAATTGAATAAGATAATATACTGATGATAATAAGTAAAAGAAATGTGTAAAAACATTAGTAAATGTATTATGTCCAGTCCACATGGGTTTTTGGGTAATCAGTCTTTAGAAGCCATATCATGTGGTCTGTCCCATAAATGGGATTATGAGCAGGGTCTTCTGCTGCCCCTTAGAAGTAATTTTTCTTTCAGGTCTGCAGGTAAATAGTCTAGAACAGGTGACCAAACCTTTAGAAATTGCTCATCTTTTCTTTTTAAGCCTGTAATCTTTCATGGGGGTTGAGTGTTAAAAATCTGAGTGTACCAAAGGGTAACATTTGGCAGGAAGTCTTCGATCTGATCTGTTCGTAGTGTGATGCAGGGAGAATTTTTATTTTAAATATCCAACTAATTGAAATCCTTGCCCTAACATATCACCGTGACCATGTTTGTATGCTTTGTTAGCTCCGCTGCACCACAGACCTAGCCTGCCCGTGGACTCTCATTCATTAGTATTTTGTTATTGAAAGCATTTACCTTTTATCAGTAATGTTACACTCACATTGTATTGCGGACAAACCTACCTATGTACACTATGCAGTACTGACATCAAGGCAGTACAGTATAAATGATTGCATTCTTTTCATTGTGTGACACTGATGTCATCTCCATTGCACACAATTTCTATGCAATGTTAATGGCCTAACCCACACTATACTGTGACTGATGTTAAAACCAGGGTTCTCCAGTAGAAATATGGTGCCACAGATGGACAAAACAATCTGATATTTTTTTTATTGTTTGTCTATAGAATGTGGCAGGCCAGTAGCCAGTATTAAGTCAACAGGAGCCGTGCACCAGGGAAATAATCCAAATGTTTGCTGCTGCAGGTTCCTATCCTTTGTTGCCATTTTTGTCTTAGACAGTACACAGTAGGGAGACACAGGAATGAACTGGAGATGGATCGGAATGATAAAGGGATTGGACTTCACTCAGGTTGCTGCAGGTATTTGGTATGCACATCGACCAGCGGAGACAACAAAAGATAGATACCAATCGTTCATCATACATACCTGTGAGAGAAAGGCTGCAGTATGTGTTAATCCATTTCAAGTTTATCATTACTTTATCCTTAAACACAGAGCTCCTGGTTATATTTAAAGCTGTGGCATCCCGAAATGTCCTAATTTTTCACTTTTGTTTTATTAAGCTACACTAATGCTGTTGCAGAAAAACATATGAGACTTTCATCATTAACTATAACACTTTTATACAACTGAATACAACTTTGAAGGCAAATCCCATCTTCACCTCTAATGTCAGTTTCGCGCAAGATGGCAACATAGTCTTTCATCTGATTTAAAGCAATATGATGAAATGGGGAAAATGTCAAAGGTTTGTTAAAAGCAATGTGCTCGTAAAACATTTATAATTGGTTCTGAGGTGTTTCATCTGATGTAACATTTTGAAGGTATATATGTCCGGTAGATTTGGCAGTACGGATCTCTCTGGGCCGGGGCTTCAGAGAAATGTGCATCCTTGACGGCTCACAGAAAGCCAAACAGTCAGGAGCTATAATGTTTTCTTGGTTTGTGGCTGGAAAAACATGGACAATTATACATATGTTCAGTGCGGCCTCTGCTGGCACTAATATGGTTAAGACTTATTTGGTGATATGTCCATTCTGTTGTTGCCCCATTTCTTTTCAATAAAAAGCATAAACTGAAGTGTGTGTGGCTGAGGTAAACGCCTGAGCTCATGCTGTAAATATAGCAAGTGAGCATCGGCCACGAGTATGAGGGCATTATACTAACTATAAACATTCCCTAGTTGAGCATCATTTTTGGCAATCAAATTATGCCATGAAGTGATTTTGCATCAGGGTAATGCGTGGTTTTGGGGCCAAGATGTTGTGCGCAAACTGGAAAGCAAGTCTCACAGAAACCTGCGAGGTTAGGAATGACGGCTTTATCTTAAAATACATCATTTTTCAAAGGATTGAAGATCCTTTCAGATTTGTTGAGAGGGATGGCCCTCTAACGCCCACTCTACTCTGTCCATGTCTCCCCTCTCTCCTCATGCCCATTGTCTCTCATCCTGTCACACACACACACACACACACACACACACACACATACAGCAGGCACATGCACACAATCAACAGACCGCATTTATTTGGCTTTATCTTAAAAAAACACATGCAAAAGAGCAGCAGCGCATATGGTGCTCATTTCTGCACCAGTGGCCTAATGCTCTTAAGTTCATTCTTTGTTCTCAGCATCATTGTTTTAAAGGGAAGACAAAGCAGGGCAGTGTCCATGCTGCTGTTTCATAGTAGAAAGTAGAACACTGCGGCTATTGTGTTTGTCACCTACTAACTTCCTGCATCGCTCCTTACTGAAATTGCTGACAGACAAAAGGGTCACAAATAGCAGGGTTGCATTTGGTGAAGAGAACCAAACATGACGCCACACTTTTATCCAGATCCTTATGTAAAAGGATTGAAGCTGAAAGTAAAGTCATGGCTGTAGCTACTGTTGAGGAAACTGAGGGTGTGTCTTTTTTCCTTGGAATTTAGTTTTTTTTAGCAACCACTGTACAATTAAAACCTACAATGGTAAGTATTTTTGAGTCTGATTCCAGTATTTGTAGATTTTAATTTGACCATAAATATTAGCATTACCACTATGTTTGAGTCACAGAGTTAGCGTCTAATTTCTCTAAATAAAAAGGTTTAACTGCAAAGTTATTGTAGTTAGATAAACCATCATTACACATGGACAGGAACTTTATGATCCCCTGACTTCTCATCTAGTATCAACATCAGGTCTTTTTTTTTTGTGCACCAAATTTCTGCAAAATGTATGATATTCCCATCAGCCTCTGCTGGTTTTGTTCTAATAAGAAAATGTTAGCATGCTAATATGCTAAACTAAGATGGCTTTCAATGGAGTCGCCATGTTGAACACAACACCGGTTGATTGGGCCTTTCGTGTTTTTCCCGGCCACCGTAGTTCCTCCTACACACTTCACAGTCGGTTCTCATTACTAGGTTGTCAAATACAGACGCGAGCGGTGTTCAGTTAGTTGCTATCTGCAACTTCACCTCTAGCTGCCACTAAGTGTTACATGCTGGTTCTTTAATTCATTAATCACTTTATAATTAATGATTCACATTCTGAAATTTTTATAGCTGTAATTTTTCATGTTTTTTTTTATCATAGACCTTTTTCACAGCAGTCATTTTGATATGATAGTAGGGTAAACACAGCTGTTACAAAATATTACTAATTAAGAATCCATTCTATTCAGGTCAGTCTGCTGCTATTGTGCCTGTTGGCTCATTGGAAAGCCTTTGTTACAGCACATTTAACAGAGCCTTAATTGGTATCATTAGTAACACCTGTGTTTAACCTACTATTTCATGTCAAAATGGCTGCTAGGTCTATTATAGGGTTTGTGTACAGTGCAGTGTCACAGTCAGTCCTTTTGCAGTAGTGGCAATATTGTGCATATGCATGGATGTGTTCCCATACATATATCACTAAAGCAAATAAAATGTGGCAACAGGCTGTAACAATGAAAGCAGATTTTATTGTCCCACATGTTGCTGAAAGTTAGATAAACCATCATTACACGTGGACAGGAACTTCAGCGTTTAATCATTAAATTCAACTAATAAAAATATTTTTCAGCAACACAGACTGCATGTTTTGGATGTTATTAATTATTTGGGGTTTTACTGTGTTGTGGGACTTCATGCTTCACTGAGGTGAACTCTTTTCTCCTCAAACACATACGGCTTCTCACCTCCCGGGCTATCGGACGGGTCAGTTCATCCACATTACCACTAAACTTTCTATTTTTTCAGTAACCTGTAGTGGCATCTATCCATCCAGATAGTTTGAGGGGTTTTTGGTCTAGGTTTGTAGATGAATAATTTAATTTGTGATGCTCACAGCATTTTAAACAGCTATTCAGACTCAACAGAATGAGTACCCAATACAATGGAGCTGAATAGATAGTCCACAGAATTAACTGTAATATTTTCTGAAGAAATAGGCCGTACACTGTCCACATTGAGGTCTGTTGAATATTGTATCTCCAGTGGGAGACTTTCTTAATGTCACTCACAGTTATAGAATTAATATCACCTTTACTTTTAACCTGTCTTATTATCTAAGTTACCAGCACATTAACCTTAGCCTTACTGTTAACATGGGGGCTTCTGGGGCCTGTTGGCTTGCCTGAGAGCAAACGGCGCTCCTTTTTTCTTTTTTTTCCTTTTTGGGTCCAAGATTAACATTTCATCTGATCTCTCTTGACAGATGATTTTCTTTCAGGGGCCCCGCGAAGGATAACCAAAAAGGAGCACTTTCTGCCTCAAGTCACTTTCTCTGTTAGGAGTTTTGCACAAAGATCTTCGCAGAGGTGACATTTTTCATTTTGGTCTCGGGCAGGCTTTGTAAAACGCTTTGTGTGTGTTTGTGTGTGTGTGCGCAGTGTGTGTGTAGTTTTAAGAGCAGACCGGAGCGGACAAACTCAGCCAAGAGTAGATGTGCGATTATGTCTTAAAGGGAGGGGCTTGCACGGGTATTCAGTTTGGTTTTTATCATTGAGTGAAGTGGAGGACCGACTGCAGACTGGCTCCCTCTCCTCTCCTCATACTCGACTCAACAGCTCTACTTTGTCCCGTTAAGATCCACAGGTAAGCGCAAAAACTTTCGCCTCCCTGCGTGTTTAATAATCTCAGCAGAAGAAAAGGCCATTACGCACGGATGCTTCTGCGCATGAAACAGCGCGATGCGTTAGAGATGATCACATTCTGGGTCTCTGCCTGTGCGCATGCTGCTCATACTTTTCAGGATCTCTTAGCCGCCGCCGCTCCCTCCCTCTCCCTCTTTGTGCGCTTTTCACGCCAGCAGCTCACCAAAAGAGAAAATAAACTCGTGATTGTGCGCGTAATAAAGTTTGCTATGGGGTCGAGGTGTGATGCTGTCATGTAAATGTTTTGTTAACCGCGGGACAACACAAAGAAAAAAAGCGTTTGTCCGCTCCTGTAATGCGCGCTCAGTCCTCCAGGGCTCGGGAGGGAGGAAGAGGGGGGGGGGCTGTCTCCAAACCCCCGGCCAGCCAAGTTTCTCATCGCCTCAGCAGCCGACATGACACTCACTTTCAGCTTGAAACAGCTTATGTGCTTGTGAAAAGCGCTGCAAATATGTTTAACGTTACACAACACATTTCTGGCTGTTTGTAAAAATTCACAGCATCATCCAAACCCTAAAGGAAAGCTGTGTTTTTGACCCTTAAATGCACAGTGCGGATAAACCTGTTGAAATCTGACATGTGGAAGGTGTACAAAAAGTTGGCTGTGAGCAAGAATGGGGGCCCCATATGGCTACCAGCACACCGCGTGGCCCTCAAAGATCAAATTTGACCATAAGCTCACACTGAGATACAAAAGGCAATTGTCCTTTGGTGTATGAACTTTAAACACATCCAGCATCTCCTGCAGACAAAGCCATAGGGCAGTCTCGCAAAAGGCAGGCCCGCTCACTCACAGATGAATCCACTTCCCATCGTATCAAGGTATCACATTCTTTGCAATCCCACCATCCCTGAGGCATAGGGCTCTCTTCAACTCTCATTGTACTTGAGTTGGCCAGCAAGTCTTTTGATCTCAGCTTTATTACATAGTAGTATCTGTGAAATGGAAGCATGGAAAATGGGAGAGGGTGGAGGGGAGGGGCTGCAGAGGGGAGATCTGTAGGTTCTTTTTCTTTTCTGAATGCTTACGGGCCAGAGACAGCGTAGTAATTGCCCATGAAACTGTATCTGATAAGCTGTGCGGTGTTTGGAAAACACGTGGAGAATGCCCTCCGCTCCTTATAAGGCGCAGGCCCAACCTGGTGACAGGTGATTGGAATAGCCTCTGGAATGCAGTGCATAATGGTCCTCTAGCACAGTGGTCCCAAAAATGTTTTTGTCTGATGTACTGTACCCCCACAGTACTGTCAGAGGAAGTGCCCCTTCACGGACACCACCCAAAATAGTGTCTTCATTTAGAATGATTTTAAACTGGATGTCTGGAAGTCGCTATTGAGCAAAGCTTTTTGAGACTGGCTTGTGAGTCTAATATTCGTAATACTAACATCGGGAGAAGCTGGATTTTCATCCAGTTATCCTTTACTTTTAACCGACTATTTCACCACTGGTACTGTAAGTGAACAATCTCAACCATTTATCCCATGGATGTGATATTAGACTGGATACTGGCCCCAAAGATGGCGCCTATTCAGTCTAATGAGAATTGCTCGCCTGGTGCATACGCTAAAAAAGTTTCTAGCTTCTGGGTTTATGTCCAAGGGTATGCGGCCCAATGAATAAACGCTGTAGTGTTGTTGTTGTTGTAGTGACTTTTACATTTTTAAACCTCCATGGATCAAAACTTTATAAGTTATAACTGACCTTTGCAGTTCGCGTTTTTTCTGTTAAAAGGCTTACAAATGTCTCTTTTACAGTGGTGGTGGTCTATGGGGAAAAGGCCTTTTGGGCTGCAGGCGAATTTTTGGGTGCAATACTGCGAGTGGCCACTGGGCAAAATTGGAAGCAAGGCTGAGCAGTCTTATTCCTAACTAAGTAGCTAACTATTTTAACTGTTTATCCTTAACTTTTAGCTAACTGTATTCATCTGCTCTCTTGCTAACTACTCTTCACACATTCTTAGTCTCAACATACAGTGTTCAGATGTTGCAGCTGACTCAGTATGTGGATTTTTTAAATGAAATCATATAGAATCAAATAGAATCATTTCTATTTAGTCTTATTAGTTGAGCTACTCTTTCAGAGCACCCTATAGCAACAGCAGAAGTATTCCCTGGCATACAAGTACCCCTGGTGCGAATCACTGCACCAGGAGTTTATTTCAGTTTTTGCATGCATGTTCGCACACATATATACACTCTCTCATTTCTGAGCTAAAACACACACAGAAAACTGCAGGCTTTACACTAAAATGCATGTAGTGCTTTGTAGTGTACTTAGAAGGGGATTTTATAATTGGCACGATATGATATGGGTGCAGAAGAATCTGGAGGTAATTGCACAGAGTGATAACAGGGGTTTGGCAGTGTGGGGCGAGAGCCAGGGCCAGGGTTAGGGCTGGGCGGGCAGGATGTAGGGAACACTGCCATGCATTTCCGGAGTCTGGCTCTGGACTGCACAGTGCGGTGAAGGCTTCTAGTTACTGTACGCTGGCTCCCTCTCCTTCTCTCCCGTCTCTCATGCACTTGATCAAAGTTAAATGTTGGACCAGGTAATTATTGTGCCTCATTCTCATCATAATCAACATGTGCTAAAGCCCGGTGCGTTCATGAATCTGTCCGTGTACAGTTATGAGTTAACGTGCACGCAGTATATGTGGGTGCTTTTGTTATAGTTTGATCCTAGATACTCATAATCCACCACAGTATCAAGTTCCAAAGCAAGAATCCAGAGTTTCCTTGCAAGGCAATAGTTTCTTACCACCACTGAGTTAAGGCAGCCAACCAAGTGGCAAACTGAATTTGAATAGAATGGAAACCTGGCAGAGGCCGTTTTCTAACACAAATGATCGGACCATTCTGTTCTTTTTTAATAGATGTTTACCTATACTGTGTTCAGTGTTAAGGTTTTCCAAATGTGGTTCAGTTTCCAGTGATCACATGCTGACATGTCCGTCCAAACATACATTGTTTCTGCACAGCAGGTGCCAGAGCTATTTTCTGGTTTCTTGTCATAACGGACCAGTGAAACTATGTCAAGCATGTTTCCTGTGTTCTAGTCCTTTTGCCCCTTGGCTTAATTTTATGCAGATTTGTTTATTCTAATAATATGGTTCGAGATAGGGATGCTGCCCCAGCAACCACAAGCAAAATGAGTGCTTTCTGTTTTATCAATGGCGTCCTTGTCATCAGTGTCAGCCAGTTGCCTCAAATAAAGTTAGTTTAGGTTTTAAGTTTGTGTCTTCTGGACAACAGTAGGAGTAGGACAGGGTTCAGCTCATTTGAAATGATTGTGATTGACGTGCAGCTAGTGCTCATGGGACTTAGGCCCTGGACTGGAGCCCCACAGCATACTCGTTCTGTTCCCCCTTGCCTTTGAATTCGATAGCATGTAATTTGAATGCGCTGCATCCAGAACCGCACACTAAGTTGTATAATATGGTAAGCTTGGATGGACGGGCAGATCTCGAGTTGGAATGGAATTCTTAACTCTTTCACCGGGTAACAACGGTCAGCAAGTGGTAGGCAAAAACTGCTGCTTAATTGCTTGTGAAGTCACACGAGGGCATGAAACCTTAGATGATGTTTAGGTCCTGGAAAATATGCAATGGGAGTTTTGCAGATGTTTGTGATATAAATTCTGAATTCCATTGTTATATATACTTATATAAGAATATACTTGTTGTTTCTCATTATTCAGCCAAGAGGACTTGGAAAAGTTCTGTAGGGGAGTATCCTCGGTGCTCTTGGATGTTCTGGCATTTGTTCACGGCACAATTAGACTCTGGTTGTCTCGTGGGTGATGGAGAATGCTTACTCTCATTTTTCCCCCTCTTCCAGTCGACCCATACCCCCGCCTATAATAGATTCACCACCAAATTAAGTCTTTATAATCAAGCCACATTTACACAGCTATTTTCAAGCCACAGATTAAATTTATTTTACATGCATAAAGAATTTCACAATAATCGTTACTCCCAGGATCTGTATCTTTACTTCCTTTCTTTTCCAAACTATTTCACAAACTTTGATTCTCCTTGCTGAAGCAGTCATGTGGGCATGAAAGACCTGTGTTTGAATTCCTCTGGGCTTTAGTCACACTCTGATGAAGAGGGTTTGTTAGATCAGCCTCTCACTTGTGTCGTTTTCTGACTTTAAAGTGCTATCACTCAAGGCCAGATTGCCTAATAGGCAGCATGGCATGTCGGTGTTGGTAATTGGCATATTGGCCCGCCATCTGCTAGTTGCCAGATGCCAAGCTCTGCCAGAAGTTTCATAGCTATAAAAAAGACTATTGTATTCTTTTCCCTCTAACTAAATCTTTTGTTTTTTTCAGTGGGTGATGATTTAATTCACGAGGCAGCCTTGCTTTATATCTTAAAAGGTAAAACCTCCTCTCCTACTCACGTGATCTACACTTCATGGGATTTTTGTGGATGATTGATTGTGCGAGAGTGAGGTCAGTGCTCCTAAGCAGCGCTTCTGATGTCATCCTACAAAGATGCATGTTCTCTCTTTCTTTCCCCAAAGCGGGTTATTCAGAGAAGTGTACAACGTTGTTAAGAGGGACATTTAGCCTTTGGGCTTCTTCTCATCTGATAAAACAAGCACAGGAAATGTCTCTGTTAGCTGATTGGCCTTGTGTTTTCCTTCGGCGTCCTCCCTCTGGGGCCTCAGACATGCACAGTGTGTCCCTGTGGCAGAGAAACCACCTTACTTGTCTCTCTCCTAATAGCTACATTAACTTTCTCTTCGCCTCTGTCCTTTCCTTTAACACCAATCTATTCTACCTCAGCCCTTTTCTCTCAAAAAGAAATGATTACTATAACGTTCATTCTCACTTCACCCTACTTCTTCTCTTCGCCAGCTTTCCATTCTTTCCGTGCTGTCCTCTCTTCACCTCCCCCTCCTCCCTTCTCCTCTCAGCCTCTCATCTTCCTCCCAT